ATATGATCTTCCTAGATATTAGTACCCTTTTTTATGAAATTGCAATAGATTAGAAAAAAAAACTATTACAAACTAGGTGTTCAGATAATTAAGACTATCACACTCTTTTTTAAGCGAAAAGGCAAAACTAAGAGGAATCTTTATGCAATAAGATCCTCCCAAATAAAAATCTTCTAATAAGCATAAATAGGCACACAAGTCCGGCTATAATTTATTACACTCCCTACTGAACCTAATGAAAGATAGTTTACTAACATCCTTGAGAAAAACAAGTCTTCGACGAGTTCCTCCTTATTTTGGAATTTTATTGAAATAACTATAAAAGTATATTTGATAACATATAATTATCTTCCTTCAATTAATAATCCCTTTTAGCTTCAAAGCTCCAATTGTGATAAAAATAATTCCAATTGCCCGGATTAGCCATAAGTGTTCCAAATTACTACTGTCCCAATGAACACATTTAATACCAAAGCCAAAAAGAAACTTTCCTTTATGATCTCTGAATAACCTCCAACAATATCGTGCTTCATTTGATTTAGAAGAGCTCCATTCAAATTGCCTTTAATCACTCAGGTGGAGGAGGGGAGCCAAGAGAAATATAGATATGTCATAATGTTACACATCCGTTCCCGGAGTACAAAATGTACTGATAGGATAATTCATATCATTCTGCCTTTATAGGACCCGCTCCTTTGCTCTCATTATAGAGACCACATCTTGATACTCTACGTCATCATAGAGCAAATCACAAGTTATAAGAGATCAATGAAATATGATAAGATTTCAATCTATGATAGTGCTAAGAAATGCATTATGATTAGGTTTATATGACCTTGGATATTTCTACACTAAGTAACAGTATGCATAACCTGTTCTACACAACGTCAGTTTAATTTCAGTGTTTCCATAACATTATCTTAGTAACTCTAATGTGTTATGGAAATATTTCGTTTTTATCTACTTAATTACATTGTGTATTGACATTATAATCTTGCTCTAATGCATTTTTTGAACATATAGATTACCCTTGTACTGAAATTTATAATAGCAATTAAACATAGTGCATAAGAGTTTTGAACAATAAATGCTCGATATCTTCTTTATAGCAAATAGTCGATTCATCTATACTCTCTCGATAAGACTGTAATCAATTATGTCACAATTATAATTGCATCTCGGCGCCAACAATTTCCTACCACTTTCTTCTATGTCGGTAAAAGGAAAGCATACATGATTTTAAATGCTCATAATTATATACTTATATAATCTCACAAAAGTTTCATTTTTATTTAATTAATTATTTGAAATGAATTTTTCGGAGATTTAATTAAGAGTAGCAAATATCGAACCCTATATATAAGTCAATCCAATTTTCCTAAATTACTGCTTGAAACATCCTCTTTCCCTCGGCAGTCTCACTTTACTATATAAATTACAATTCTTATTATTTCGACCAACAGTAAATATCCTAATGATAGGAAAAATTAATTTTCTTCTCAACAATTTCAATTTCTTATAGGAGACCTCTCTAAATCATTTGAAACACCTTATAACATTGCCATACTAGAATCCCTAAGTTTGTGAAAACCCTAGTTTCCCTAAATGTTTTAAACTCAAGAATTCTTTAAGAAAACTTGTGCATTTTATACCAAATCCTTTCATTCAATTTCTTTCTAAAACAATTCCCTATAAAATAAAGCATAAAAACAAAAAAACCCTAATTCGGATTTAATGTTTTTCTTAAAAAAAAAATTGACATGAGATGGCAGGAGACCAAACCGATCAAAGGTTTCAATCCTTAAAAGATATTCAATAAAGAAATCTTTAAAAAATTATCAAACCCGTAGAATTTTCTATACACATAAAATTCTCATGAAAACTTCATATAAGTTGAAGAAACACTTACCCTAAGGCTTTCCCACGTTCGGTTCCTAAGGACTTTCTAAGCGCCGTAATCGCCGGCTTGGAAGGAGCTCCCGCCGATTCTCCCTCTCTTCGGTCTCGCCCTTCTCTCTCGTTCGGCCACAAACAACACGCACACGGGGACCGAATGTTCGGTCCCTTAGGCGGAAATGAGGTTAAGGAAAAAATTTAGTTCATTTTCGCAGTGTGCCCTTATCTCTAAAGGTTTTCTTTTATCAATGAGGCCAAAATGGGTTAGAAAAGCCTATCTTACTAAACGAACTTACGGCGAATTAACTCCAAAAACCGTCGCGAAATTTAATATAAGTTCTTTTATACCGTTTCGCATCGAAATTTCCTAGACGAACTCTAATAAATATTTCGTCAATTTTCCGACGACATCGAAATTTCACTTAAGTCGTCGCGGCGCACGATATGCGTGCGACGCACTCAATTGACGGAACTTCTGGGGTTTTACTATATGGCATTATGCATTGGGCTTTTGCATGTGTAGGTGTTAGAATTGCTTGCGGAATTCATTGCTTGTGAGGTTCTTTGGTTGTCATCAAGGCTGGTTCTAGGATTAGTGTCAATCCAGATGGATAGTATATATTATGCTTTTTCGTGAGTTAATTGGTGATAGACAACACCCTTGCGATTTTCTGGACTACTGATTTTAACATATAGTTTCCTAGTTTCAGTAAATTTTTAATATCTCTTGGCTTACCTTTTTTCACACTAAATCCAGTTCTCTTGCTTAGTTTTATAGCTCTCAAAATAATATCTTATGTGCACTGCTATTCTGATGACAAATAGATATTTGGAACTTGCCATTTTACATTGTCGGCGCTTCCTGGAGGATCATCACATGCAATGTCTCCAGCGTTTGACTAGGATGATGAGGGGACTCGCGGATCCACTTGCATCTTCTTATTGTCATCTTTATATGGCCCACCGTGCAGCATTGGTTCATTGTAAAGATACTGGTAAAGCTCATGCTTTGGACTAGCAAGAAAGAAAATGTAAACTGCCCATCCTTGGTTTTTTTCTCCCGTTTCGGATGTGGCAATGTAGTCAAATGACCTCATGTAGTCTTATATTTGTTTAATAGGGGAATTGACTTAGTGCTCATCCCCCTTAAACCTAGTTTACCTCTATCTTCTTGACATTATGGAATAGTTGCCTGGTTGCTTGATCACAGTAAATTGCACCCATATTTAGTTTAGGTTGCCTTTCTAGCTAACTAAACAGTCAAAGGTTAAACATATGCTGTAAGAAATCATTAATGTAGTTCAGTTTAGATGCCATTTTTTGTTCCAATTACTGTAATGTTATGTTAAATCAATCCTTTTAATGCAAATAAAAGAATGTAGGAAGAAGAGGAACAAGTTATTTTTGTTCTTCATTCTTTTGGTAGAAGTTACTGAGTTAGCCTATTTGCTTCAGGAAAATATTATTTTTGTATATCAAAATGCGTTTGACACCAAGGTCAGTGCTAGAGGCGTGTGTCCACATGTTCTGATGTACTAAATGGAATTTATTCTTTAATTTATTACTGTCACAAGTCGCATGCAAGCTTATTTGCTGAGGATATTTAACAATATGGTTCTTTTTTATTGACGATATAGTTTCCTTGCACAAAAATTCAACTATTGTTATTTTTAAGGTTCTGCTATTCTATTCAAATGGTATGCTCTCATTTTGATTTTATCAATATTCAAGTCATGCCTAAATGATAACAGGCTACTTGATTATGTCCATTAGTGATATCAACTTTTCATTGAGGAGGATTATTTCTGATAAAGAAGCTAGGAAAAATGATTCCGAGAGGAATATTAAACTAACCATAAGCCTGATGGAACCTACAATAGAGTGGATTATGAAATACATGTTCATGGAAGGAAGACAGGTTAGCATCACGTTTTGAAAGTTGTTATTATAATTTTTCTAAACTGTTATGCTTAATATTTCATTATTAAGGCATAATATATGCAATTGACAGTATTGCTTCTGGGTGAAGTATGTAATAAGGTCTTTGGTTTGATCTCCTATTTCTTTCAAAATGTTTATTTGACTTGGAGCTTGCAAACCTTATGTAAATTTCTTAATTTTTAATCTTGTAGCATATTTGACATGAAGTTCTGCGCGAGTTACCCAATTGGTTGATTTGCTTTTTTTTAAGGACATCTCTATCTCGGAGGTTTAGACATCTCAGGTCCACATCGTAGGAAATTGGGCACTCTCGACCCTGGCAATGATCTGCTGGACTTGACTTTTTACTGAAAATAATCTATCCTGAGGTTCTCTGGGCAATCATGAGTCCGAACTTATTCAATATCTAAGCTTGTGTGAGGTCTATGTCACTGGTCACTTGGTTAACAATGTTATATTGGATCATACCCTTGTTTCACCACTTTATTGTGTCTTTGTTAACGAACTACAAATTATATAATTCTTGATAATAAGAATAAAAACATCAAATTCTGTCATTCTTCTAGGGTTTATATTCTTAATTATAAAAAATTAATTTGTAATTTTCTAATTTTTTAATAAAAGTAGTTCCATTAAAATTTTGAAATTTGAAACAATATTACGTCTCTCAAACAACATCGCTAAACTTACAAATCTTTTCAAAATTTTCCTCTATATGTTCATACATATATATTTGCTATCCTCATTTTCTTCTTTTTCTTCTTTTCTTTCTCTCTTCTAGCTCTTCTTCTTCTACTTTTAGAAACCCTAAATTTTTTTTCTCATTTTCGATATTGGAATTAGAAAACATATAGTGAGAAAGGAAGAAAAAGCTATTGAGAAAGGAAGAAAAGTCTTAGCTTTTCAGCATGAAAATGGTCTTCTTTTGGCGTCATTGAAACATATCTGACAGTCTGCCTTGCTCTGTGCACGTGAAGACCTTACTTGGTCTTCCCATCCACACATAAGCTTGCTTGTGTTCTCGGCTTTGCATGCACGATACACACTCACTAGCACGATTGCACTAGTGCATTGTCTCGGCCCTGTTCACATGCAATTCACTCACTTTATTGCTCTCAATCTTGTCTTTCTCTCATTCTCTATCTTTTGCACTCCCCACGCGTTTAAGTCAGTGCGGCTTTTGATAGTCAAACGACACCTGTGGGGATAGATGTCGTTTAGGATATGTTTTAAGATAAAATTATATAATAATTTAATTATTTTTATTTAAATCATTTAAGTTGAATATTAAGTAGTAATTAATATTCTAATGCGTTATTAATGTTTTAAATTAATTTAATTTTAAGTTATTACACTCCCTTTGTCAATTGAGGTAGTCCTTACGCTTAATTTTGTTTAATGAATCCATTGGTGTGTGCGTTTACACCCAAGTATACTGCTTTGCTTTAGTAATTCAAGGCGTATTTCTATTGCAAGATGAAAATCCTTTTGCTTTACCTTGCTTTGTATCGATCAGTACTTCATCTGCTTTGTATTTTACATTAATGATCCATTTGCATCTAATAGATTTCTTCCATTTGGGAAGATTTTAAAGATTCCATATATCATTTCTTTCAATAGCCTAGATTTCTTCGTGAACTACATTTCTTTTTCATTCATGCACTTTTAAATTATCCTTATAATTGTTTGGAATTTTTATGCTTTAAAGACAAAAATTTTGGAGATAGTTTGTCATGGGAGATACAATGACAGATTGGGTGATTGTAGCAGTTTAGTATACTTTTCCCGAGAGCAAAAATAAGCACGTTTAGGTTATGTTCAAAATCAGCATTATTTTCTTCATGTTTTTTTATATCAGGAATTTGGTCAGACATTGGGTTTAGTTTATTAGAAATGCTTTGCTCTATCTTATTGATTGATTTTTTCTATTGTTTGGAATAGACAATCCCTTTGTACTTTGCTCGTTGTATGTGATATTTGAAAGGTTGAGATTCTGATGGTTGAGATTCAAGTTGGTTTGGAATATATATAATTTGAGATATCAATAAGGTACGGCTAATATTATCATGAAGCTCATAGTCATAGAGAGAGTTGATATTTCCCATTGAATGTGAGGTTTTGGGAAAAATGATTGATTTTCAAAGTTGACTGCATCTTTGGAGATAGGAGGTCTACAAAAATAATCTAAAAGAATTCTAATAAAAATTTGAATGATAACCTATCAAATAAATTAGATTATTCTAAATAATTCTTGACAATACTATGATTTTTGAATTTCAAATGCTCCTTCATCTTTGTACGGCAAAAAATTTTCATATTAGGATTTGAAATTCAAAACCTTTCAATTGTGGATGCCCAGGAATTTTAGGAGATATTTGTGGAGATTCTAGAATTAAATAATTCCTCTTGGAATTTGAATTTGGATTAATTTTCTTTGGCCTCGGATGGTAGATTTCCAGGGGGACATAAAATTTAAATTCAAGCCCTCTTAAATCGACTTGTAGCCCTCCATGTTTCCATGAACCCAATCTAACTCTGGACTTACCCTGAACCATGTCCTAATCCTTGTCCTGGACCATTTCTTGAAACTTGAGCTTTAGTTTGAGTTTGCAATTGGCTTGTATAAGCTATTCCTTTGTTGCTGCACTCTTCTGGCTCACGTTTTTAGCTTCGTTGACTAATTACCCAAGCTCAAAAGCCATGGAAAAGGCTCTGGAGCACATAATTTTGTTGTCTTGGTTTTGCAACCTAATTTTGGTTCCAAGGGGATGCTTTCACCCTGGAATCCTTTAGTTTAACCCGATTAAAATTATTTCTTGGTTTTGAAAACTAAACAAGATTTGCAAAATATTACGTTTAACATCACTTTTTTATCAGTAAACTATAATTGTTTATCCTACTGTTGTCTGTGTTATTGATGTATATGAAATATCAGCTATCACGTTTCTGAAGGATTATCAATCTAGTTCTGATACTATTGCATACTTTGTTTGAAATAGAAACCCAATGACATACTTGTGGAGTTTGGATTTGGAAGTGGAACACTAGATTCAACGTGGAAGGTTCCATGGACTTCAATTATTATTCATCATCTCGTTAGACAACTTCCAAGTAAAATAATTAGTGCATATTTGTTTGAGATTTTAGAGGTTTTTGAGCTCATTAAAGATCTCTCTCTCGACCAGGTATATTTAATCTTCAAATTGTTAAACTGTTCCTATATTGTTTCTATCTTATCTTTTGGCTCTTTTTCTGCTTATTTTTACGTTTATTACTTTCTTCCAATGTGCAGCATTTGAATTACAGGCTACTTGGACTTAAGCTTTGTGAGAGCCCTCCACATCTTGCATATGTTGAATCCATATTAAACAGAGTTATGCAGGTAGTAAGCCATGCTATGAGGATATTGAATTTTTCTCTGTTTAATTTACTAATTAAATTTTATGACTGGTGATGTAGTAATGTTTTTTCAACCTCTTTTGTGAGTTGATTAGAATTTAATACAATTTTTCACTGCTAGATATCTTTAATAGGTCGATAATCCATATAATGTATTCATTACCATCTCATAAAAAATGGAAGTGATGGAAATCTTGGCACTTTAAAGCAAACCGTGGTTTGTCTTATTAAAAAGCTGGGCGATGAATGTTAACCGTGGCTTGTATTTCTTGTGCCTCCCCTTTTTCTGGAAAATCAGTAATTTCATGGCTGGAAATAAATCTGGAAAATAATTGCAAGAGTGTGTAAATTATAGAGGAATTAAGTTAATGTGTCATACATTAAAGTTATGCGAGAGTAATTGAGCACAGGACGTGATATTAATGTTTCTCAAATTTAATTTGGATTCATTCCGGTAGATATATTATAGAAGCTGTATATTTGTTGAGAGGTTTGATGGAGAAGTATAGAGAGAGTAAGGAGAGTAAGGATGATCTACATATGATATTTATTGATTTAGAGAAAACATATGATAAAATTTAAAAGAAGTGCTCTAGGGATTTCTAGAAAAGAAAAGAGCCAATAATGCTAATATTCAAGTCATCAATGATTTGCATATAAGAGCTGTTACTTGTGTTTAAACACAAGGTCCTTTGACAAAGTTTTTTCTTATTTCAGTTGACTTACATCAATGATTAACTTTAGGCCCATGTCTTTTTGCTTTAGTCGTGCATCTTCTTACTAGACATTTGTAGGAGGATGTACCTTGGTGTATGTTTTGTGCTGATGATATTGTCACACCCCAATTTGACTCCGTATAGTCAATCTAGAGTGTAACAGAGAAGAAGAGTCTGAACAGACCTTCTTACTTATACCCACTCTGAATCACTGCTATTAGAATTAGGGAGTAAGAAATAGTCTATTTAGAATATCTTAAAATATCATAACGCATCATGATTTTCATATTAGAAAGCATATATAATATACCTCAAATAAAATGCAAATTTCTTTATGAGAAGTGGAGAAATCTTTATTCAAATTTCAATTCATAATTGACTAATTCATTTACGAGCAATCAAATTCTTGTTTCTAGAAATAAGGTCCTATTTAAATCCAATTAGTTTAAATAATTCCTAAAAATTTTATTATCTAATTCCTAAAGGAAGATTATCATAAAAATAGAATGCATTAAAGCTAAAAGAAAATTCTAAAAATAAATGAATAATCTAGAGAACGCTATAATAATCTTGATGCTTGTCTTTCATTGCATCAGTGAAACGCAAGCCTTTTTTCCTTAAATTGTATACAATTTTAAAATGTTCATGGGGTATTAAGCATTCTCTAAGGCCAACTTTATTATTGGTAGAACCGAGTCATAATTTAGCGGCCCCTGCCTGAGATTGTCCCTGCCCACTGACTCGTTTCTTCCATACCAAAAACCAGTCCATATTACTGACGGAAGATAGCTCAGTGACTTGATTTGAAGCCCCTTACCATAGTATGTAAATTAGATAGCACCCTTAACCATATTATGTTAAAATCTGAATCTGGCTGAGCTGGGCCAAATATTGAAATTTATACTTGAGTGAAATTTTAACCAGGCTACAATTGTGGCATTTTCCTTTTTTAATAGCCCTGATCAGATTCTGCGTATGATATAGCTAGTGGGGTTTGGGCCAGTTGGATCACCAGGAGAACGGCGCCGAATCGGCGAGACTTCGGCAAGATTCGAGGATCCCGTGGGTAAGAGGTATGTATGCGATGCTCTTTGGTCTTTACGTGGAGGTCAACAAGATGTCTTTGATGTATTTTCTTCTCTGATGGTACTCTTAACTTTATTGTGACAGTAAGGAATGCATCGATTTATTGTTTAATATTATTAAAACGTATTAACATAATCACTTATGAAGATCTATGCAGCTTCTTGATGTGATGAAAGAATATAAAAAGATATTCATACTGATGAAATGTTTGTATCTTCATGAAGAATTCACTTGCATACAATGCTGATTTCATTTTGCTTCAATTATCCATTTTTCGTACTTTTGTTTACCAGGTCATTTCTCAATATAATCAGCTCGAGGAATATTTGTTAGTTGCAAATGCTTACTTGGACATTATTTTGCAGTGCTCAATGGTAATCCCTTGACCGCTACTCTTGATGTATGATCCTTCCCTTGTATTTTGTTTTTTGTTTTAATTGTGTGATGTGCTATTCCACCCAAATTTTCTTCAGCCATGTCCGTGGATTAGAATTTCCTTTTCTTCCTTGGTAGTTCTTTTTTTCATTACCTTTGTCTTGGTTTCCAGTCTTAAGAATATTTTTATTTTATTGGGAGGTCGATTAAAAATAAGAAGATTTGTTATAAAAATTGGTTTAATGGTTTCCGGTCTTAAGAATATTTTTATTTTATTGGGAGGTCGATTAAACAAGACTTACATGGTATGTGTAAGGCACTTGATTGGGATGCCTCATGGTACTTTAATGAGAAGCTGTCGTCTCACTTCTGTTAGCTGTATAAATTTAGTTTTGGAAAACGATATTAGCAAACAATTATAGTTTATCATCTTCTAATCAGGAAATCTTTTAGAATGTGCTCAAAACGTTGAGGAGCTGGCATATTTCCTTTATTTCTAATTGACACTGGTTCCTTTATTATGTGTAGCAGATCTAATTAACAATTGAGAAGGACCTATCCTATGCAGTCGTGGATATTTGTTCCATTGTTACCCCACTCCACTCTTCTCCAAAATAATAATAACTTTGTATGGTTTGGGTGTGTGTTCATATAAGGGTGAGGGTTTGGTAAATGGAGATTTTGTCACATATAAGATGGGAATGATGAGTTTTCATATACTTTAAAATTCTGATAACATTTTCGAGGGAATTGACGAACCTGTTAAGGTTTTGATGCAAGGAGCAGGTTTGTGGTATACAAAATCTTTATAATATGAATGCAGCTTTTGCGATTCTCTGCGGCACATATCATTCCTAATGATCTGGTTTTCTGCAACCATTTGATCATTCATTTGGGCTAGTCAATATATCTAGTCTTCCAGCAATCAGATAGTCCATATTACTGAATCCATTTGAACACTAATAACGGATGGAATTTCACAATGACCACTTATCTGCTGCCTGATTAAGCATCAAGCTATTGACGTATATTTTCGCATCAAGACAATTTCAGCCCGGATCGAGTCGATTCGAGCTCGACTGGACTCGTTCGTGCTTGATCAACTCAATTGAATGTCGTCAAAGAAAAATTAACTCAAATTGGACCCCAATTTAATCAAATTAAATTCAATTTGATTAAATTAAAATCAAATCGAACCGCATCGTGCCTCGTCAAACACAATTCGACGCCAATTCGAGTCCAATTTTACAAATTGGCTCAATCGGAGCCGATCGGTGTTGACCTCTATGGTAAAGCAAAAAAAAAAAGGAACAAAATAAAAGAAATTTGCTAAAATTATTACCTCTGCCGCAAATCCAGCCCGTATCTCACTTTTCTACAATGCCTCAGTCTGCTAATAGGCGCCAGATGTGATATGTTTATTATATGAATTGCTTTAGGATAGAAGCAGACGCTTAGCACTTCAAGTGCTAGGCAGATTCTGGATGTGATATGTTTATTATATGAACTATTTTTTTACTCTTTTTTACAGCTTTGAGTCTTTTATATTTTTTACATGTATTTGATAGAATTAGGAGTTGTATTAAACTTGTGGGATTTAGATTATAAGGAGAGGTGGACCTAGAAAGGATGTATCTGTGGAATGTGAAGCCTAAAGTTTACCTGGAAGGTAAAGCTTGAAGACCCCACAAATGAGAGCATGTAAATAAAATTTAATTAGGTTGTATAATGACATACAACTCAGCTGTCAAACTTGATTATAATAACTGAGACTTTATTTATATTTTGCCTTTGTTAATTTACATTTCCAAGCATGTGTTGATTTCTTACTTGGTGCGTAATAGAAATGCATGTTTTTCTTAAGTTTTTTTCTTATTTTGCTTGGAATGGTTTGGACATGTGAATGGAGTAGACTCTTAGGATAAAACTAAGATTTCTATATGTAAAAAGATGTAAACAATCTCAAATCAAATTAGGCTATATTTTTCTAACAAAAGAAAAATTATATGGCTCCTTTCAAGGAGCCATGTTTTCCAAAACCTAAAATGATCATGCATAGTTCAGTGTGTCGTATATAAAAGGCCCTCACTTAAGGACTAGATAACCAAAATCTATTCTTTTGTGAGTTAGCATGTGCATATCCTTAATGGTTAGACATCTTGACCTCAAAGTAAAGATGTAAGCCCTACTTTTTAAATAAAAATCGCCTCCCTACTCTTCATATGCATCAAGACCAGACATCATGGTTTTAAAAGCGATTAGTTGGATTTAGCTGGTAGCCCTTTCCAGACAAAGCAATTAATCCAAAGGTCGGGTTGGTTATACCTCATGTGAGGTGTTGTTTGTAAGTCCCCTTGTACTCTGTTAGACTTAGTTTGAGGTACTACCTCTCAGTAGTTCTCTCCTTAGTTTTAGTGTCCGAGGTAATGATTGATTTCAATCACTATACAAGCCCTCACCTTCCGGGCAATTCCTCCAATATGTGTTGTTGGAATGCAAGCCCCAACATTTTAATGAAATTTCAACTTAAATAAAAATTAGATTCTAAAATATAAGGCCCAATATAGGATAGTCTGAACACCTCTGAGATTTCTCAGAATTAAGTACTCTTACACTTATTTCCTTTGGCCTTCATTCCATGGAATTTAATCTCAAGTTGATCTCTTCATCATTCAAAATTCCTAAGAGACAAAATATTTTGAACAAGATTTTCATGGATTTTAAAAATAAAACTTTAGTTAATATTTGAATGACTTTCAAAAGAAAAGAAAATCACTAGTTTAATCAGAATTGTTCTCAAGTATCAAAAGCTTGAGATGTAATTAACCATAGGGGCGTGTCCTTATATGGCATCTGTTCCCTATAATAAAATAAACTCCATACAACTAAACATTGAATGGGGGAATATATTTTAAATTGTAAATTTTATTATTGAGTCCATAAGGAAATGATATTTTTATCCTTCGGGATAATATATCATTTTTCTTATGTTGTACTTGATCATAAAGTATGCAATCCGTTTGAGGACAACAAAAATTCTTCAACAGAGGTAGACCTAAAAAGACTTGGTTGGAAAATATTAGAAATGACATTTCTTTATTAGATTTAAATGAGAATTTGACTCTTAACAAGACACAATGAAGAAAAGGGATTTATGTAGCCGATCCCACAGTGGGATAAAGGCTTGTTGTTTTTGTTGTTGTTCTTGTTGTTGTATGTTTCCATAAAAAATGTTGGTATTTTCTGCTAGCAATATGTAATTTCCATTGTTCACTGGAAAAACCATTCGTTATCATTTCCTTGATAGACTACTTCATATATAAACTTTTTATTACTTTGGAATATACGTGAAATATGATTCCTTTCTACTAAAAGTATCTTGTTTTTTCAGGATAGTCTTTTATCTTCCATTTTAGATGGCATTCTGAAGCGAGCAAAAGATAGAAGGGTTGATGAAACTGAGTTAGATGCTCTGCAATCGATTCTTATGAAGCTTCTCAAGTACTTTAGTAGCATAGAAAATGCTTTTGCTTCGGTAACATATTTTTTGTAGTGCTGAATTTCTACTAAACTTTTTATGTATTCTCTTGCGATGGAAATGTCTAGGAAGGAGTGTCTGTTGAATCATCTACATTGTTATTTGACTAATGCTTGCCTTCTGTCTTAGCCCAAAATTGTGCATTGGTTGTTTTTCCTTAAAAAGAAGGTTCAGCATCGTATATGTTTGTATCCTTGGAGCTGGTAATGAGAGAGATTTAGACATAGTTATCTTAGTAAATGCTTCTGCAGGTGTTATTTTATATATTTGTTTTTTGGCTTTATTATGTATTTTCTTCATATTTTTGACACAGCGAAAATTTCATTTCTAAAATTTATTTTCATGTTTCTTTGGAAACTTGGCTATTTGTGAGTGTAGTGACAAAAATCAATTACATAAAACTAGGGCCTTATTTAGAGTTTGCATCAAGTAGTCAGGGAGTTGGGAGCATGAGATATTTATTCCATTTTCTTTTGCAATTTTTAGGAACATTTTATGGCTTTGTATGAACTGCTGAGTGGAATTTCTAAAAATGTTATCAATTTGGATATGCTTGAAAAAGCAACAAGGTATGTTGCACTTCTAACTTTTCACATTGTTTCTATATGACTTTAGAACATGTTAAATTTCAGTGCTTCGATATCTGACAACTGATATAAAATTTTCCTTCAATTTACCAAGAGCTTTTGTATGTTATGTAATATTATTTACTCCATTCATTCTAGTTATATTGAATGTTTCAGAGGCTTTATACAAAGGTCCACTATATTCATGATTTCAGTGTCTCACCCATAAATACAGTTTCTTGCTTCTGGACTATGCTGCAACCTACTTTGTGTGGTTTTTGAGTATCACTATTCATTTATGTTTGATGTGACATTCAATTGTAGAGGACAAACAAAGTAATTCCTATTAGTTTTTTTTTTTTTCTTTCGATTGAAAAAGCTAGGAGTAAACTCTTCTATATAATAATGATAAAGAGGAGAAACACAAGGATATTACAAGGTCTAAAAATATACAATGCACTGATATAAAAAAAGAGGTAGAAATAAACATATTGCCAAATAGTCCGAAGGATTATCAGAGAAGCTAATGTTTTTCATATTATCTTTGGTAATTTCCACTTTTTCCACATGTAATTATATATCCTGAAATACGCTGGAGAAATGATGTTATACCAGAAAACCTTATCATATTTTTTTCCATTGAAATACCCTCATGTTCCTCTCTTTCCAAATATTCCATAGCATAGAAAGAAAACATCCCATGTACATCCTATGCCAGTAGGTATATAGTTCTCTTTCCAAGAAGAGATGGAAGTGATGCAATATGATGCTGCAGCTAAATTGATGCTAGATGTTTAGCAGCGTCTAGTTCAAATATATTTATAATAGCCCTTGTTGGTGCTGCAATCGATTGATCTAATTCTCCTGCTGCTGGATTGCTTGCACCTGCACATCTTAGTCCGCACAACTTAACTGCATAATTTTCTTGCGGACAGTGTGTATCTTCATATGTCTTTATGGAAAAATCCTGTGACATCTCCAGTTGTTCTATTCTCCAAATTCTCACTCTCAATTATAAAATTATCATCACAACCTTCGTTCGTGATGCCTTGCTTGTCATCAGATGATATAACCAATAAAATTGTACATTCAAGAAACAAAAATGACTTTGCCTCTTGTTGTTTCAGCTAGGTTATTGAAGTTGTGGCAATGCTTCTCAATAGAGATTTAGGCTGACATTTCGAAGACTGGTTGAGAATGTAATGTGAGAATTTAAGGTTGATGATTATTGACCTCTATATATATTTCACGATTAATCGAGTACAGCGAGGAAGAAAACTAATAGATATGTCGCTTATTAGAGCATAGGGACACCTCAATCGCCATCAAAATGTCTCAAACCTTTACCCGATCGTGATAGATCACATTAATGCCCTCAGGATACCGAATTTGCTAATAAAATGTCATGCATGCATAACTCAATCAAAAATGATGATAAGCATGATTGTTAGCAAGCGCGACGCTAGTGAAAACTACCTAAATGACCTTCGATTGTCAAACAGATTGCGTCGGTGTGATCAAAGCATCAAATTTACCTAAGGGCGGTCCTCGCAGTTGAATAGAGTGAAGGTTATTGAAATCGACAGTCTATGGATAAAACATTGTGCAACGTTCCATAAACATCATCATTTAGCAAAACGGACTTCGTCATTATATCGGGAATGTCAAAATCATATAAAAAGGGTTGTAATATTGCACATGTCATCGATTGTGATCAAAATTGACAGACTGCGGATAAAATGTTGCGCAGCGTTACTCAAACACTGCCAATTTGCAAAAGGTACTTTGTTGTCGCATCTGGAATGTCAAAAAGTACCTAGAATTGACAAAATATTGTCAGGATTATTAGATAAGAGTGAAATCAGCATGAGTTTAGATGTGCGACATTATCTAAACACTGCTCGTTCTCAAAATATACTTCGTCGTTATGTCCGGAATGTCGAAATCATATAGGAAAGACAAAATATTGCTTGGGTTTTCGAGCGAGTGGAAAATCAAAATTTCGCGCGAGTTTCAAGGTGTTGCTGCGAATTTCAAGGCCCACAATTTACAATAAATTGCACAGGAAATTGATTTATGCTTTTGCTATTTTTTAATCTTACTTTAATTGAATTTGTATATTGATATATATTTAATCTTAGCTGTCTAAATCTTATATATAAATTTTATCTTTTGCCTCATCCCTGCTTTATCAACTGCCCATTTCTCTGCTTGTATCAGCTGCCCAATTCCGGCCAAAGCCGCCTATGCCAGATGCCATATCCAAAAAAAAAAAAGAAAAGAATAGGCAAAATGCTGATTAGCTTATACAATATTCCCATTTCCTCATTTTTCCTTCCATTCCCTCCCATTCTTCTTCTCAGCCCGTCACTCTTCTGTTCCCAGCTCCCTCTCATGTCAACCTAGACCCAGCAGCTCCTTCACCTCTAATCCTCCCTCCTTTCATGTGAACACCACACCTTCCCTCCTCCACCTCCCTCACGTGAATAACACTAGCAAACCTCATGTTGTCGTAGCTCCCAACAAAACATCCACCTGCTATATTGATCGTATAGCCGATCTCCACTCCACAACATCCCATCCCCTCACTCTTCTTCCCTTTGCCAGGAAGCCCAACCTGTCACGACCCGACCCAGCTAGCCCGATAAAAACGGGGCGGGAACAGTCGGTCATACGGAAGAGCATAATTAAACATAAACAATTTCATTAACGACCTTAATATCAGTACACAAACATCAATACAGAAATGAAAGAGCCACTAAAATAACATCAAACTGAAATGTTTCAAACTGTTCATCTCACACAACTACTAAAACTTTTAAACCATCAATTACATAAACTCCAAATTACTGTTCTTACACATGTACAAACTCAAACTCACAAACTACACATGGACAGAACAAAGACTCAAACAGAAAACATAAAAAGGAACTATTCTTCCTGAGGTCCCCTACGACGATATGTGTACGGTCGTCGTGCAGCCATCACTTATCTCCTGAAAAATATTTTCAAATGAAGAATGAGCTAACGCTCAGCAGATAATATGCATTCATCTCAAATTCATGACTTAAATAAAAATAAAACATTTATTTCTTTTAGGAAACTAGAATCAAACATTGATAAGCATAAATTAAATAACATTTTCATACAAGGGTTTATTTAATTTTTTTTCCTTGAACATATTCATTCTTCTTAAGCTTTTTCTTTCATCAACTTTTTTTTTCATCATAACCTTTCAATTATATGCATAAAAATACTTAATTATGAATTATACACCCGTCCCGAAAGTACCCATATTCGTACTGATCAGGTACGCAGTCAAACTTTGGCAATTTCCTTTACCATTTGGTTCCGAAGAACCCCATTACCATTTGGCTTATGCAAGCCCTATTACCATTTGGCTTTTGAAAGCCTTATTACCATTTGTTTGGCACTTCCGGATCAACATGCACATAGAATTATAATAAATCTTATAGGGCTTCAATTATTCAGAATTTCATAAGTATTCGTTCAATTCGTTTCATGCATAAATGTTCTCATGTCTATCTAAAATTTTCAGTTATGAAACACTAAGCAAATATAAAATATTTTTTTGCGTAATAACATAAAGAAAAATTCAAACTTGTAAGAGTTGCATGAAATGTAACATTTATAAGGTGAACCTATTTTATTTAACATAAAAGAACATTTAAAAAATTTAGAGACATGAAATTGATTTAAATACAAGTACCTACCTCTCTTAAGCACGGTATGTCACTTCGACAAAGTCCTTTCACCTTACATCTTAATGATCACAACCTAAGAAAAATTTATAAAATAAACGTGTCACATAATTAAACTTCATTAAGGCTAAATCTAAGTCCTAACCCTAAACCCATCATTTTCTCGTAACAATTCTCTACGACACTTAATAAATATTTAATTAAATAAACCTTAATTTTCGGATTTAATTAAATCTAAATTTTTAGAAAATCACAAATCTTCAATTTCATTAAAATATCGCTCCAAACTTAATTCTAAACATATAATTATAATTATATTATAATTTTCGGATTAAAATAATTATGAAAATTGTAAAAACAAAATTTTCATAAAAATTCAAAGTTTATGCTTTAAAAACTTTTCTAATTTCTTTGAGAATAACTTTTCTAAAAACACTTAATAAAAATTAGGTTAATAACAAAAAGCCCTAATTTTTATTTCTCCAAAAATTCCTCAAATCTTTTCGTTTTAATTGTTAAAACGATCCTCTAATCCCTCCTTAAAGATTTCACAAAGAAATTTCGAAAGAAAAATAAAATCCTATGAAACCCTAAAAAATTCTTTTCCAAAAATCTAGAAATTGAGAGGGATTCGTTCCAAAATAAACATACCTGAAGACTCCTTTCGTCGTCCTCTTCGATTTGGACTAATTTTCTCGCCGGAAGATCGTTGCCGGAGAGGAACCCGTCGAGCCCTCGCCGTCCGCCCCCTTGCCGCTTGTTCCGCTTGGTTCGGCCCGTCACGCGTGAAATAAGAGGGGGAGAGGCCGGTTGGCTCATAATAGGAAGAGGGGAAATGCTAAAGGACTCATATACCCTCACTTAAGTGGATTTGACTTAAGGAATTAGTAAGGGTATTATGGGTATTTAGAGACTTCAAACATTTTTAACTTCCAAGATACTTAAAATTAACTACAAGTTCTATACATTTATTTGATCAGAATTTTACGAGGAATTTTATAAAATTATTTCTGTTGAATTCCGTTAACGTTGAAAATTTCACTTAATTCTCGTCACGACGCTTTGAAAAGCGTGCGATGTCTAAAACGATATTTTTGGGTTTTACACAACCCACACTCTAATGCAAGCAAAAATAAGCAAAAAATTAGGTCAGCCCTAATTTTTTGCTAGAAAAGACATTTTCTTACTAGGATAAAGAAATTACATAAAGACACTTTTGAAATAACAAAAACAACAATTTTATATCATATAAAACGACCATACAACAAAAGACACTTACAA